ATTTTATTTGTTTTTATTTGCTATTGTTTGTTGCGCTTTGGGTTTCAGAAAAGCGCATTATAAATAAAATGAATATTATTGTTTTCTGTAAATTCCATCCATTCAATATTTTCTCCTTTTTTAATGTCATACCTTTTCGCTTTTGTGCTTGTTTCCTTTCGGCGCACATTCCACAAAGAAAACCATGGAGCATCCCAACGCTGGCGTCGCGTCCACCTCCAGCACTTCTCCAGGCTTAAGCTTGTGCTTTCCCTTTGCATTGTTGAAGTTATTTTGAAGCTGCTGTCCTGCTTTATTCAACAGGGATGATCCAATCAAGGTTGAGGTCATGTTTGTTTGAATCATCGGAGCAACAAACACATCTGCCTGTATTAATTATATGAATCACATAAGTTACTCAATAGTTCTGTTTGAGAGGTGTAACATAAATACAAAGTAATTTGTAGACTTGCCTGCTGTTGTTCAAGGCTACCAACCACAACTTTAATGTCTATCTCTTTTTCAGAGTCCAGAGTGTCTTGGGAAGCTGCAGACGTAAATGGTGAGCTCTGGAGGTTGAGACTGCTCATGTATTTGGGTTCTTTACCTCTTTTCTGCTTATCATCTATAGGCAGTATCCCAACCATATAAGAATTCTTCACCAATTGCAAGATCCTTGCACCTTCACTTTGAAAAAACTGTTGAACTCCAGGTCCTTTCACCTCACATCGTTTAGTGGCAAGCCTCTGAAGGCATGACTCAAGGCTGTCCTTCAAGCTCTCAACTTCACAGCGAGGTCCCTTGAGGTGGACACATGGGGAAGGTGAATTTGTTGGCTTTATTTCCACACTGCTCTTCTTCATGCCGCCAATTGCCATGATCTCAGAGAAGTGCTCTGCCATCTCTGGACTGGAAAGAGGCAGGGATGCATGATGGATCTGATGGTTTCTTTTGTATACCAGCACAATGTTCTTCAGCTTACTGACTTCAGGTGTGTAGCCCACAAGTTGAACCTTGGGGTCAGAAGTTGATTCATCCTGGTATTTAAGCTCCACTTTAACACTTTTGTGATTGGCCTGCTTGACGGCTTCGCTCAAATCCTCCTTCAGCTTAGTAAATGCAGAAGATTTCTGAGTATTGTCCAGGCGCACAGTCTCCAAACACAAGTCTCTCTCCACGGCAGCAGCCGCCTCCTCTAGAGCTCCATCAGACAGACTCAACAGAAGAACATCTGAACCTGAAGTCTCAAGCATAACTGGGCTGCGGAGGCTCTGCTGAAATCGGTTTTGGAAGTGCTGTATACCGCCACTTGATTCCAAAAAGGTCATAAGAGGATGATGTGATGGGATCCTCTTCTCTTTGATTCCTTTTGCTAATTTTAAAAGCTCATTTTCACCTGCATGAACCTCTTTCTCGGGACCCTTTAGGAGAACGCCTGCTCGTTCCTGTGTGATCTTAAGCGCAGGTAAATTCGATTTTATGTATGGCTCAAACACCTCTTTGATGAGGTTAAATTGTTTCTCAGACACACAACACTCTTTTTGAACCTGCTGTTTGTTCTGCAAGCCACTTAAAATCTTCTCCACTTCTCTTTGTTCTCCAACCACCACAGCTAAACATGTTAGTTCTTCAAAATAGATTTTTAAGTTATCACTTTGAAGGAAAGAGTTTTCTTCTAGAATCGCAGATTTGTCACTTTCAACCTCGAAGTGGATGTTATAGCGTGACTTTAGAGACTCAAACTCTTCGTCCACTGCAAATTCCCATTTTTTTAGGGGATAAACATCTTCAGCTCCCGGGTCCCTTACCACCACCAACTCTTCAGAGTCAATGTTGATCTTGAAGGTGCTGGAGATCATAGAGAGATGTTTTTCCAAATCTGAATGTGGCTTTTTACATTCACTGAGGAAGCGTAGTAAATAATGGTCCAGTTTAAAAACCTTTTCCACACTTTTTGCACTTGCACATTTCTAAAAAAAAAAAAAGAGAAAACATTAAAGATGTGATGCAAATGTTTAATGTAATGACCTCAGAAGGGGGTCAAAAAGGTATTTTTAACCTAGAATGTTCTAAAAAGTGCAGACTAAGGATGCTCAGTTCAAAGACATAGATATATGCAACTCTACGATTAAATAATCGATACTTAGGAAAGAAAACGCTAGTGTAACATAAGCGCCACCTGCTGTCAGAGAGTGAATTTGCGTTCTCATTC